GCAAGTAGTTCATTGCACTCATCTAAATTGATGGCCAGGATTGACTTTGGTTCCTCTAGTTTCCCAGAATTGAAGCAGCAGTATTTACTTCCTGCTATTGGTTCTCCAGCACCTGTTGCACTACTGGTTGCAACCAATAGCTTTGTCTAGCTTACTACTCTGCAAGGAATGGGCAGTTCACTTGAAAGTGACCCAATGTTTTACATGCAAAGCAGATGTTTCACTCCTCCCTTCTAGTATAGCATCAGCAGTATATAAAGAATTGAAGAATCAATATAGCCCCTCCCTGCCCATTCACTGGATACCAGTGTGGTTGCATTGGTAGATGGTTTGTTGACCCTCAGTTAGACTTCAACCTGGTGCAATATGTATGCCTGGGGAAGACAGTATATCTGAGGTGTAATCACAACAACTGCTACTCCTGGCTTCTTCCACTCTTGTGAATTGTCTGGAGTTACCACTTTATACTGCATCACAACAGAAACTGCCTCAGTAAGGGAGAGATCTTTTATGCCTAAATGATGCCACATTGTTTCAGTGAATAATCTTTACACAAGTTTGTCAACAAGAATATTCTCATGATCTGCTAAGGCCATTGCAGAGTAAGCCTTACCATACAAACAGCACAGTACATTCATGTAAGTGGTTACAATTTAAGTGATATCTCTCTTCCAAACCTTGAACTCAGATCAATGGAATGCTCTATTTTACATCAGGCTGAACTTTTGACTCAGTTTGGTAATGATGATTCAAAGTTATAAAAGTGCTTTTCACTCACGTGTTTGGTGAAGTTTAGGGCCAGACTGTCTAAAGCCCATTTCAAAGTTCAGTCATTCCAAACAGTTACCTGTTTGAAATACTTCAGATAATGGTTCAAGTCCTCCTTCGCTGCATCTTTCAATGTTGATGGAATGATGCTTTGCTGTAGTTATGGGGAACCATGACCCTCTCCATCTCAACTTCCAGGTTAATAACATCACAGGCACAGCATTGTTGGTACTGTCAATGATCATGACATTCTAAAAAGTGGTATGTCCCTAATCTAGAGTGGCAGAATGATGAGGAGCACTTGGTAACTTATTCCTTAGCTTTGTATGACATCAGCCTCCTCTTTCTATGCAGAATGCCTCCTGGCTCATAGAGGTTCACCACTGCCCCTTGGTCTATTTACTTTGTCATCCAGTGCCCACCATCTCACTTGCTGGCGAGATAGCTCCTGTTGGCAGACAAATCCACCAATGGCACTTCCAGTCTCTGATGTTCCTTAGTGGCTTCAACCAGGACTGGGGGTAGGTTACTGTGGCATACACAAGTCTGGGATTCCTATAAAAACTACTCTATTCAGTCTCATCACATGCTATACAACCACAATGATCTTCAGTTATCCACATTTTCCTCACATTTATGTCGATCTTCAGAAAAAAAAGCATGGATAGCCGTTCTGGTAGACCCACGCATTGGTGGTTCTTCTTCCTTAGTCACTGGCTGTAACAAAACAAAAGTAATGGACCTCCAAAGCATCTGCAAAAGTCTGGGGTCAAGTAGATGATTTCTCCTAGATCCAAAAACTCTACCTTGATCATAAATTTTCTAGTTGTGGAAAATTCCATTTCCATCAGTAAAAGGCCTTTCTAAATTTTAAGCTCAAGAGTTTAAGTAAAGGGCAGTACATACATCTGCAGAAACGGCAAACTTCACAATAAAATATCCTGTGTTACGGTACCAAACTTTTCTCCTTCCTATCAACTCAGTGATATATCCAGGTAAAACTGAATTTACTTAAGAGCAATGGAATAGGTTCACAGAATAACAGGAGATTCAATCAAGATATTTATTATGAGGTAATGCTAAGTTTCTGTATTAGTAAGTCATGAGAATCAATAACATAAAGGGACTAGACACAATCTCAGTGGGAGTATTTGCTTTATGGGATGGTCACTTTTATTGGATTTTCTTCTTCCAAACAAACTGAATAAATCCTACATTCCCTTTTCTGAAAGAAACATCATATTAACCCAGTATACTTGATGCTACCCACATAACTGGTCATAGGTGGGGTCATAAGCTGAAGATATCACCTGAGTTATTATTGAAGGACACTGTCATCAGCATCCTTAAGCAACATGCAGTATTACAGCAGTACTTCCCATAGGAAGAACTTGTATTATCCCCTTAAAAATAACAAAGGAAGCTGAACAAGATGAACTTAATTGTTTTTTCAACCATGTGTTATGTGAAACCTGCACGTAAACAGAATAAATGATAAATTCAGAATAAATACTATAATAATACGAGTAGAAGTTCCTTAATCACATACCATAGTTTTAGACCTTCAGAAGACATATACCATAGTTTTAAACCTTCAGAAGACATACATCATAGTTTTAGACCTTCAGAAGACATACATCATAGTTTTAGACCTTCAGAAGACATACATCATAGTTTTAAACCTTCAGAAGACATACATCATAGTTTTAAACCTTCAGAAGCCATATACCATAGTTTTAGACCTTCAGAAGACATGTACCATAGTTTTAGACCTTCAGAAGACATGTACCATAGTTTTAAACCTTCAGAAGACATACACCATAGTTTTAAACCTTCAGAAGACATACACCATAGTTTTAAACCTTCAGAAGACATACACCATAGTTTTAAACCTTCAGAAGACATATACCATAGTTTTAAACCTTCAGAAGACATATACCATAGTCTTAGACCTTCAGAAGACATATACCATAGTCTTAGACCTTCAGAAGACATATACCATAGTCTTAGACCTTCAGAAGACATATACCATAGTCTTAGACCTTCAGAAGACCTATACCATAGTTTTAAACCTTCAGAAGACATACATCATAGTTTTAGACCTTCAGGAGATGGAAATTCAGATTTAGTTCATAAACAATTTTTAATAATTAAATACTACTCACTTTTAGGAATCAACACAATTTACATGAGCAAGATACTCGAATGACAAGTGTCTTTTAAAGTTTTAGAAAATACATTAAAATGAAAATTAACCAATGATGGTGATTCTAAAAACATAAAAATGTCCATAGAGTCAAATTACGTCTTGGTATCAACCACTCCTCTTCCCCATAAGAATGAGATGTGCCTACCGGGAAAATCCCTGCAGGTGAGACAGTAGTTTTCAATTTTTTGTATCTGTCTTCAATACCTCTTGTTTGTGGAATAATAACTTCTCTTAATTTTTCATTACACTCACCTAATAAGATCATTCAAGTTTTTTTATTTCATATTTACAATGTTTTTGGCATAAAGAGTAAACTAATATGAATACCTCTAAAGAAAAATGTATCTTTCTTTTGAGAAGGTACTAGACAAACTATGTTATAATCCTAATGCAAAAATCTTTATTGAAACAGTTAGAAATTTAAGTTATAAAACAACGAATACGATTAAATTTCTAGTTACAAACGATTTTTTTAAGACAGAATAATGAAATACAGAAATCGTCCTACAGGTTTATCCTGTATTTTAGTTGTTATAATCTATAATTTATAGTCTGAAAATGATAGTGCTATTACAGAATTGAAGAAAAACAAAAACAATTGTACTGCTATTAATAAACACCAGTTAATTTAAGTAACAATAACAGATGATTCATAAGATACACCAAAAAATTATGTGAAAATGGATGACACACAGAAAAGTTAAAATAAATGAGAAAATGGAAATATAACACTATAAAAACATAAAGACCCTGATGTGTAAATTACTATTAGTTGTGATACTAAGAGCACTTTTGAAGTTAATAAGATAGGCTATGTTTTCATATATAAACTCAAAAGTTGCAACTGAAAGGATGCACAATTCCATTGGCTTGAAAGCAAATACATTAATAAAGCTAACAGATCTTAAATACTTTCAACAAATGTAAACGATATAACTATATAAGCCTTTTCAGTTCATTTACAGCACCTAGAAGAAAATAGGCAAAAATATTTATTTGTCAGCTTGAAACTAAAATATTTCTTAAAAAATTCTACAACAAATTTTCAAATACAACAATCGACCATTTATTCTAACTTATCTATTATAAGAGCTTTAGTGATAAAAATTGCAGCATAACTGTTTAAAGACACCTTTAAGCTCAACCACTAATTCAAGCACCACTATCAGTGATGAATTAAATTATATGGAAAGTTGGTGTGATAGTGGTGTGTTTCACTCGCTCCAGTTCACAACTGTGTACTTGCCACATACTTATATACCAATACAATCAAAATGTCTCTATTTGTCTGCAGTAACAATTGCAATACTAAATGTTTTTAACTGCAAACTTTTTAATGGAATGTAAAATCAAAAATGGAAAGATGCAGGAGCCTCAGAAATTACTTACCCATTATAAAAAATGGTAATAAAGCTTTTAAAAAGAGTTCTCCGACAAACTTAAGTTTGTCCAAACAGTATCGGAAGTCATTTATTTAAACTCTACCAGTTTTTCTTGATTACACATCACAATTTCTTTTAGCGTGAACTTTCTTAATGGTTGGAGAAAATCAAGTAAATGTGGATTAATGAAAAACTGACATTCAAAAAGACCTCCACAAAGTGTGTAACCTAACTGGCCAAATTTATACCCATTAAGCAATACCTTGTGATAACAAAACTAAATCCAATCTATGACATAACTTTTGGAAATCTTATATATTTAGTTATCAATCAGAAGAAACAATTACAGTGAAGCTGAACTTTTAAAAGTTTTACATCACATGCACAGTAATAAATTACAAACTTTGCATCCCAATTTTCTAAACACAAATAACATTAGAAAGGAAAATATTTTTATTAATACTTTCTTATAAATTATATTGTACAGTGTAACAAAGAAAAATTTAAGTTATTTAATAACATTTAACAAATCCAAAGTTCCATAATGTTTAAACCTCAGAATTATGTTTCTTACATCAATTAATGAAAAATAAAAGATAACACACACATAAGTAAATCAAAAAAAGAAGGAAATATCTGTATAGGATTTCAAAGTTTTTTATTAACAGAAAATTACATTCGCAAACTAAACACTAGAATCAAGAATTCTTCATAGGAAATCCTAATCCATCCATCTTGATCAGTGTCATGGTAACGGAAAGCAGCAGTCAAAGTCTTCAAAAAAGATAAAAAAAAATCAAAGCTTTCAGTAAATTCTATACGTTAAGCTTTTCTTATTACTAATAACCTAATTTGTTTTGAAGTTTTTAACAAAGTTCAATAAAATTTCTGAACATTTCACTCTATAACTCTGCTAAAATGTAATACATGTAATTTTAAATCAATGGACTATTGTTGAAAACCACAAGAACAAACAATAAAGGAGTTTAGAATTCCAAAGTTACATATTTCTTGTAAAAATAAATGAAAAACCCTGCAGAGAAAAACATAATATTTTGGGGAAAAAAAATCCAAATCTGTATGATACCTTATGGTTCATGTGCATTTAACTATGCTGTACAGTTTTCTCTCCCTCTTGTCCAGTATTGGTAACAATAATGAAATACAAAAGTGATTTTGTATGGTACTTACCAACTATTCTTCAGATTTACTGTAATCTTTAGTCTTTCAAACTTATCCCTAGTTTAGTAACTTCCATTTTTACAGTTAAATACTAGAATTACTAATACAAAAAAAATTAATTTAGCTTTTGATCAGCTTATAAATACACCGTACTTTCTAAGTGGATTTCTGGTGTTCAGCACATTCTCCAAAAACATTTGGTACATGTACAGTAAGTTTTCTGTTGAAAATATAGAATGTATTTGATTTCAATTTTGAAAGCTATCCTTAGTTTAGTAACTTACATGTTTAAAATGAAATCTTAGAATTACCGATACAACAAGAATCTTTAAGTTTGCTTTTTATTTAATACTGATACATTGTTTCAAGTATAAAACTGAAATAAGAACAAATTGCACAAAGAAAAGTATATTTCTTATTTCATCATCTTAACCTTAAACCTGCAAACCTCCACTCTTAGATGGTTCTATACTTTGTAGTTTCATTTTCAGTGCATCTTAGACATCTTGAATTATATTAAATTTAATTTTCTTTAGAAATTTTTCAATGTGAGTTGTTAATCTAGAGCACGTTCAATGCTGATTAAGTGAGATTTGGAAAATAAGTTTTAAGATCTCTCTAAAATTGCAATTATTTGTACATATACACACATATAATGCAAATATTTTCGTTTATTACTTGTGGACTACAAGTCTATAAGTTTGCAACACTTTTTTGAATAAAAAGATAGTCAAAGTGTTTAACAATACTGTAATGTTGATATATTAATTTTTTTTTAGAAATATGCACAAGTATGTGTTCATGTATACTACTGTCTTCATGATAATTATTTTTCATGTGACCTAAATTATATCAGAAAAGTGCCAGAAAATGCTTACCTGAAGTAAAACACACAACTGGATAAAATCATCAAATTTTACTGAACCCATGGCATCTCGATCAAACTTGCGTATAAGAGTGCTGTAGAACCTTTCTGAAAGCCTATATCCTGCAATATAGACAGAAAAGTAAAATGAAGTTATTGATACCGGTGCAAAAGTTGAAGTTAAAAAATATTCACAATTATCATATCTTAGCTTATTATGAAAAGCAAATCAAAATATCTGAAACTTTTGTGAGCAGATGTATGTAATGTGTAAAATATCAGCCTTCACATTGTTACAATGATTATTTTTCAGTCTTAAGCAATTTTTTAAATTGAGGTATTTTTTACACTGTTATTGTTATCAACATCAACAAGAGTGACATATTTTTAGCCTTATATATTGCAGTTTTTTTTTTCATTTCAAGTTTGTTCAGCTTTGGTGATTCGGGGGTTTCAGGTTTGATACCACAAAATTTGCTCACCCCATCTTTGTTATGGAAAAGCTACTAAGGCTATGTACCACTGTCATTAATTATTAACTGCTAACTAAACAGAAGGCAATTGCCTGGCAACATCTGCCTTCAACTATTTTTGATTAATCAGGTTGTTGATTAATCAATCAGAAAATACAATTAATTACCCAGCCCTATTACTTAGAAGCATCAAAGAAGATAAGACAGTTATAAAATTAACAGCAGCTTAAAACATAGTTTCCTTTAATAGTTTTATTGTAAATTCTTCCAAGAATCGTGAACAAACATGTTGATGAAATATTAGTTAGAAATCCAAAGAATACAAAAATCATTTCTCTTTATTAATTTTTTTTATGTTTCAAAAGAATGATGACCATCAGCAATATGCTAAGTTTAAATCAGAAAATTTAACCCGCTAAAACTACAGAATGAGAAATTAAGATAAATTCTAATTACTTTTAAACAATGCATCAGGTAAAACAAACATTCATGATGAATGGCATTATAATCACACTAGGTATCTGAACCTGATCATATTTAATTCCAGAATGTTTTTAGCTAATATATAGTAGAATTGTAAAATACTTTTTCTGACAATCAATACTTTCAAAATTTTTATTTTCACAAATGAAAAACTGTAGCAATTGATCTCGCATATAGATAATGAAAACTAAACTATTAAGCAAGGAACAGTTTAAAAGAGTAGGTATGTAGCATAATAATCTATGTGCTTAGTTATCTACTAGTTGAAACATTGTAATAGCATACATGGACATACCAAAACTTGTTAAGGCAGCTTGCAGTTCATTTTTGTCAATATTTCCAGAATTGTCCCGGTCAAAACTCTTGAAACAGTTTAACCAATCAGTAACATATTTCCACAATGAACAAAATTCTTCAAAGTTAATTGTCCCACTGTTGTCTCGATCGAACATCCCTGAAAATTGGTACAATGTATTGAAAAATACACATTTAGATAAATTAAAAATAAACATTTAGAAAACCTTTGCCACCATTAAAGTTGATAATACCATTCCGTCAGGGTTACAAAAACGCGAGTCTTAAAATACCAAAAAATGATTTTTGCACTTTCTTTTGAAGCAAACTATTAAAAGTGAATACACATAACACGTAAACAGCAACAATTCCAGAAACAATCAAATGCTAGCAAATCTTAAATGCTGATATTTGGGCCTAGATTTGAGTGTTAAAGCTAATAATGCAAAAATTTCAAATGAAAGAAGGCACTATAAAACATAGAAAATGCATCTTTACTTGCATATCAAATTAACAATATGAAATGCTTTAATAATGCATATAACACAGTTTCTTTACAAGTATGTACGGTAAAAGAAGTGAACCTGCAACAATGCAACACTGCAAGTATACATCAGTAAAACATGTTGAAATATCCTGAATAAAATATCAATGACATGAAATAACTTTTAAATCATTCACTCTTTTTATGTATTCATGTTATTTCATATCAATAAGATATTCCTTTAATTTCTAAGTTACAGTAACTGCCTTTGAAACATCTGAATATCATTACTGTAATTGCAAGTTAAATGTTATGGAAGAGAAAACTTGTTATAATATTTTGATTTCTAATTATTCTCCCACACAATATGTACATCAACATATGGAGACAGTCATTTTCTCTCTCTCAGAGTAAGTGACCCATGAACTGATGAGTTTTCAAAACTAACACCTACAGTTCTTCTTTTATTTTTCAGCTTCATTTTTATTTCTCCAAGAAGTTTTAACCATTCCTACACTTTCTGCTCCACTGATCAGTTTAACATTAACATAACCATTTGAATTACTGCCATTGATGTGCCAGGAAACAAAGAACTGTAAATTTATCTAATAAATTCTTTATCAACTTTTGCAACAATCTTTAGATTAATAATGGCTGAATTTGAATCTTTAGATTAATTATTAGAAAAGCCTAACTCAAAATGGTATATTCAGTTTCTTCACTACGAAACCTAACAACAGTTATGTCTTTAATGTAAAGTTATAATACATTAGAACATACAAAGTTAGAACAGATAATTGTGGTTGTTAAGCTTATTTCGTTAAATATTAACATTTTAACTATGTATGTGGTCTTGATCACTTTGAACCACCATGTAACTATGAAACTATACATACTATAAGTTGAATCTACTACGTGTCTCTTTGCAAGCTTTAAGTTAATATTACGACAAAGTTATACACAAAAAATATTTTTACCAAAGATTTGTATATGAACTTATGAAAACTTTACTGACTCAGTCTGAGTGAGAGGTGATTAGCATACTAAGAATATAAATACCTTTCATCTTACAGTTTTTATATTTCATTTGCAAAACCTCTAGAACCTCCTAAATGAATATCAAAAGTCGTTTTGGTAAAACTTTAAATTTTACTTCTTATTTTCTCTAGCGTAACACTAATTGTATTAAAATCAATAATTACAGTGAAAAGTTTAAATATATAAAATAAAATAAATAACATCAGTTGTTTGTTTAAGATGACTGCAGACTGACAGACAATTCCAAATTAGTTATCTTAACATCTTCTACTTCTAACCTTCTCACATCTGTTTTCTTTTAATTTTATGGTTTGTGTACTCTGAACTCACTACTACACACAAAAGCAATAACTCACAGCTAGAACTGATTAGACTCCCTCCTCCAAGAAACAAAATGAAGATAAAAATTTCAGAGGAAGAGAGAAGGAATATAAATATAAATGGTTAGCTCGAAAATAATCTTCAATCCTAAGATCAGGAGAAGTTGGAAGAAATACAGAAATCAGATGTAATGGAAGAGAAAAAGAAATGATACCAGCATAAGTATCATTAGGATTAAAGCTAGCACTGTAGCAGACAAATCTAGATCTGTAGACTCTCAAGGAAATACACAAAAAATTGAGCTTCATCAACCAAAAAAAAAAGTAATTGTTATGCAACTGAATCATCCACACAATCATTATCCCTGCCAGGAATATCAATATAGAATGGTACAAATACATTGAGCCACCAAAGTTGACACTGCAGTTACAATTCATTCTGCATGCTACACGCAAACTGCATAAGTAAGGTCACTATCTTTGATAATGGCAGAAATAGTTACATTAGAAAGCATATCGAAGCAAAGTGAACAGCATAACTGTTAAGAAGAAAAATCTAAATGATGACAGAGGAGCAGAGCTTATTTATGATCTCTTGATGCTTTCAAAACAAGACATATAGAAGATGGTAAATTGTGTGTAAATGATGCATGTTCTGTAATGGACATTTAGAAATTTTTATTGACAGTAGGAGTTCTAACTCAACAAGGAATGGCTTTCAGTATTTCAGATGTAATCCCATCTGATTCACAGGCTGTTTATAGTTGACTGCAAACAAGTAGACACCATGCAGAAATTCAAAATACTAAATGTCCTAGTGATCCTGACTTGAGAAGAAGGTAATCACAAAATGAGATACAGCTTAAAAATATGCTAGATAGTTCACATATACCAACCCAATACTTTGTAAACTTGTGAAAGCCAAACTCTACTGATTATTCAACACTAACAATTTTAAAGGAAAATTATCTGATTTGCCACAGCCCCAGCATTTCCACTTGTACAATAAAAGGAAGGCTCCAGCATATTCAAACTATGACCAGAACCATTTGCTTTTAACAACTTACAGAAATAAACAATCTTATTTTTAGATATACAAGTAAATTTTAAATATTTTAAGCCACTACATGCTCGTAATTGTCTGTATAACCTATTACATCTCGTCTACTTTATGCAAAACCAATTATTTATATGTAATACTACTTTTGCCTGTTAATACTGATCACAAATTGAAACACACATTTTAATAAATGTAGTTGAAGTTTGTTGATGGTGACAAAATCTGTTATTAACAGGCAATATACAAGTCTGCAAAACCATTGCAAAGAGATCTGAATAGAAGGAGAAAGTGTAACTTTCATGAGTACATGTTACCTTAAAATGCTGTTAAAGTATAATAAGAAAATATTTTTTATTTCAAAATTTAAAGCTTAGACTTACCAATCATCATCCTCACTGTTTCCGAATTGAAAGGTTTCCATGAACCTAAAATGTTCAGAAAAAACAGTATATTAAATATTATGAAACAAGTATGTTAATCTTAATATTTAAAGGAAAGAGAGCTCTGTACCCTGTTGGGATTGTAAGGAGTCAAAGAGTGAGGAAGAGAGTATTCTGGATGCTTTTCTATACAAAATGGTCATGGAGTTAACCGAAGTAGATGTCATTTTAATTTCTTTTAAAGAACTAATGAGGATGTGGTTACAAGAGTTGGAAGCAGTGGAGTATTTGAGCAAGAGCAATCATTGGATAAACAGGGTTGCGGTTTTGTTACATGTTGAGATAAAAAGGAAAATAAATTTTAATTCCTAATTTTCAAAAAGCCAATTTTGAGTCTATGAAACAAAACTTATTATTAGTGAATTGGGATAATGAGTTAAAAGGTGATAAGTAAGGAACTTGGGAAATTATAAAAAAAAATTGCTTTTTAATTCAAGATACTCGTGTTCCTACAAACTAGAAAAGTGTAACAGCGAAGGGGTTGATAAGAGTTGCCCTGAAAATTAAAGGTTAATTATTCTTAATTCAGTAATGAGAAACATTTCAATGTCTAATAAACGAAACTTTGTAAAATCACTTGGCGAAATTCGATGACGAGGAACCTGCTTTGAGACTAATAATGGCTGGAGACGGTTTGAATGGGTAATGAAGAAAAACTTTAATATAAGTTTAACATAACAGCAAATGTACAACGATTCAACAAGGTTTTGTCATCATCAGGTACAATACCAAATCAGGAAGCTACAAAAGTAGCTTTGGCTATTAGTGATTTCTTCTTCAGATTTGGTATGCCATACAAACTGCATTCAGATCAAGGCCGTAAATTTGAATCAGCTGTGTTCCATGAATGCTGCAAGTTTTTTGGCATCCGAAAGACCAGGACAACGCCACTGCACCCACAGTCTGATGGGATGGTAGAAAAGTACAACTGGACATTGGGACAGGAATTGGCATAGTTTTGTAATAGCCGCCAAGATGACTGGGATGTCTTACTACCTCCACTGTTGATGGCCTATAGAACAACATAGCATGAAACCACTGGATACACTCCAGCAAAGTTGATGTTTGGTCGGGAACTTCGGTTGCCAGTGGATCTGTTAACAGGACGCCCACCTTATGAAGAGTTGCCTGAAAATGTGTCAGAGTTTGTAAAAGTGTTATGTGAAAGGATGGATGATATTCATCATCAAGTGCGTTCAAACTTCAAAACGTCTGCTGATTCGATGAAGTTACCTTATGATAAGAGACAAGGTGTGGTTGTATAATCCCAGGAAGACCAAAGGGAAGTCTCCTAAGTTGTCATCTCCATGGGAAAACCCATATGACATGGTGGATTGTCTCTCAGACGTGACTTTCAGATAAAAATGTTGGTGGAGAGGTAAGTCAAGGGTGGTGCATGCCAACAGGCTTTGGCATTATCACGATCCAGGAACGTGGATTTTAGTTGGAACGAAGTGAACAATGGAACAAAAGACACCGCTGAAGATGTATCACCTGGAAAGGCCACTGTCAAAGAAGAAACTCTACTCGGTTTTGAGAAAGGAAACAGTGAAGCCCTTATGAAGTTACTACCACTGAGGTGACTATTACCAATGATAGGACAATTCCTGATGGAGCAGATGACCCTCACGTGAAGCAGAAGCCAGTATGAAAGAAAATACGTCCCATAAAATTAAGAGACTTTGTTGAATTTTAATTTTGTGTTTGTAAATTCTGTACATTTAATTAAGTTATTGTTAATTTTCTATTGGTTTAATGTAAGTGGCTATTGTTTAGGACGAATAATACTAAGGAAGGGGCAGTGTTATGACAGCAGTAGTCATGTGACCCTGGTAACACGTCATGATATTCTCAAAGGATTGGGGAACATCACAAATAATCAAGTATGTGCTAGGCACCCTCTATTCCTGTATATAAGTGTGCCGGTTAATGTGAGACTAATCAATGTAATTGAATTGCAGACAGAGATAGAGACGGACAATTGAGTCAAGTGAATGAATCGTTCGTTGTGAATTATAGCGTGACTGTGGAAATTAAGTGTATTGCAAAGTTGTATTGAGAAAGAATAAACTAGTTTTATTTAAGAAAGGACTTGTATCGCTAGTTTCTTCGGAAATAATTTTTACGGAAAATTAACAAACGAACACAGAGGCGTAACAATACCATAAAATACAGCCAACATTCTGATTTACTAAAGATAAAACTTGCTTTTTTATGCTTATGTTAGTCTAAAAGCTTCAAATTTCTTTATACTATATTCTGAAAATAACAGGACAAGAGGAGACAAGTTTAAGATTTGGAAAAGACCTGTTATCCTCATGTTACAGCAGTTTTATTTTACTATTGCCAGTAGTGAAGAAAAGCATTTTACGAGTATTTATCAGAGGAATCAATGGTTTCCTGTAAAATAAAAGATGGTTTTAAGTTTGCTTTCTTTCTTGTCTGAAGTAAGGACAGCCTTGAAGGATTAAATGCTTGATATACAAAATTGGTTTAGTTAACTTATAAGTTACTTTTTAATTCTGATCTATAAGCTTACCTTACTTTGATCAGTAGCCAGTAGTAATGAAATAAATTTTAATGTCCTTTATATTCTAATAAAACATGTTATGATGTTAAACTTTTTTAATATACTAACAGACGTCAACAACAAAATACATAAAGCTTGTGAAAAAGGTCGATTATCAAAAATATTTTCCTAGACAACTGCTAAAATGTTACTATTATTACTAATAATATATTCTTGAATAACCAGTCTTACTAGTTTCACAAAAATATTAAAAAAAAAACACAAAATTTTCAATGCTTCCACATAAAAATAAAACACACACTAAAGTAAATCAATGAGAAAATGTACTTCCAAAAATGTGTTTTCTTTCAGGATGTTGACTATCCAACATGCAAAGTAATCTTGATTTTAAGATGTAAATACTATCATGCATCAAAACATTTTCAAATTTCACATCTGAAATATTTATAACCTCCAGATAATTATCAAATACGTTTTAGAAAAAACTTTGTATTTTATCTGTTATTTTCACTACTGCATCTCTGTACGGGATGATTCGATCTGACTGACTTCGTAACCTCCATAACAAAAATTAAGAAATAAATATAAATTATGTTTTTTTCTTTCTAGAATGACTACCAATTATAACACGAAAACCCAAATGTTTAGCCTAAATAGCTTAAATTATAATAATGACCTTTCAGCCATGCTGGCTAACATTATAGAAGTTGCAATGATGTGGCATAATAACCTAAAAAGTCATTTGTAGTCCATTAACAGCTCCAGCCGTTTAACTCTTACTAGAAATTTTAACCTTGCACCTAATAATACGTAAATACTAATAAAAATATAGTAATACTTCCATATCCAAAAATATAAAATTGGCCTTTACAAACTGACCTGTCTTGGCTGTGTTTTAGGGGACTAGTCTTTTGTAAAATACAGTCACATTTCAGTTTTAATACATTATATATGTACATACATTATTACTATTTACAAATAAGTTCTTAAGCTTATTTTTTTTAAAACACAGAATACTAACTAAAGAAGTAAAGCAAACAATTATCTCTCATAGTTACGACCTTTGTACTCATTTGCTGCTTGTCGCTGGTTGCTAAGCCTTGTAAAATTTTGGAAGTGGAGGATGTGAAGCAAAATAATTTTTTTTAGGTTTTATATATATATTTGAATAACTAAAAAATCATAAATTACTACATCAATACCATAGAATTCCACTATAATTTATCAAGCTTAATAACTAAGATGTATCTTAGTCTAAAAAATATGAAATTTTGACCAAACTAAAGACACACCCTACCTCCTTGAAATATTGGTTCAAAAGAAGGAAATAGCATCAAGCCCATTACTATGGTTGAGAAAGCCACTAGGGTGACATTCTGAGCTTCCAATTGGTTATTCATGTCATATGTAAAAGTGTATATAAGGGAGCATTTCCAAAAATGGAAAGAGGTGGGTGGGATGCCACTGTGTTTTATTTAGTACATGAGCAATATCTTAGCAAACAGAAAAGATACAACATTCTTATTTTATATTCTAGCTTGTCAAATTGGTAATTTGAGTTTGTAATCTGTACGAAACTATAGACTTAGTATTTAGACATCACAAACATGTAATTTGAATCAATGCTGCTTTCAACACACAAAAATCTATATTTAGGATTTCTTTTCTTTAATATTTACTTTTAAACTAAGAAATTGAGTAATGTATAGTACTAAAATTTGAAGTATAATCTACAATTTAATACCAAACTTTACTGACATACATTCATAAAATAGTAGTTCAATAAAATTTTGAATGCAAGTCAACAAACATGATATGACATGGCCTTTGACCTGTGATGATAGGGTTATTATGCATAGGTCATTTATGCCAATCCAAACTGCAACTGCTTCTTTTCTGATAATTATTAACAAATCCTAGAAGACCACTAATGATATAAAAAACCCTTTCCAGCGTGAGTGTGTGTCAATGATATCCCTTGACTTTTCCTTCTCACAGAAGAAATATTTAACCAAATTGCATTAAACTTAGAACTTCAAATCAGCTAACTGATATGATCTCTAGCATACCACATGCTTCTGTGCTGTTAGTAATGGAATAAGAGTTTGACTTCAGCATTGATAAAATAAAGTTCTCTTGTGAACTTCCTTTGTTACCAAATTTTAAGCAAGAAAACCTACTACTGGTACATTATTTGTAAAAAAAAATTAGCATGAAGGTTAAAATATTTCATATAATGATACATGGCAAAAATAGTTGGATCATTTACAGGTGGTTTTATTGGAAAAGACAAATATATGTATATATATATATATTTTTTTTACAACGTATAGCTTTTACAGTAAGGAAGAATATTTTTAAACAGTTACAAAGTTTCAATCACTGGTGCAATGATTCTCAAGTATACAAATTGTAACAGTAAAGAATGTTCTTGTATTTACTTTCTTTCTTACTGTAAAAGCTGTAACTTGTAAAAAACAAAACTGTTGTTATTGTATTTGCATATCTTCATAGGATAAATGTTAAATCAAAATTCACAGGTTTAAGTAACTGAATCCAATATCACTGTCATTATTACAAAGAAAAAAAAAAGGTGAGACTACTGAAAATAAAATCAATTAAAATTGTAGACAAAAAACCAAATATACATGTTTCAATTGTTATGGTATAAATACCTTTTCCAAGCTGGCAAAATATGATTATAATTAATTATACTTGTCATATGACATTAGTATTAGACCTATTATATTCATTAATGCAACATTGTTTTAGGGATTTTCAAGAAGAAGAGAAGTGTATAATAACAGTATTTTAACTACGCTATGTCCGAGATATCCATTGCCAATAATGTGTTTTGCTCAAACCAGGGCTCATAAGATTGGCTGGAATATAAGAAAAACATTAGTGGTCGAAACATTATTTACATAAGCCACTTGTCACAGCAATAACAGTTATGATATGCATACCTTTTGAAGCTGACAAAGCATGATTATAATTGATTACACTTGTTAGAAGACATTAGTATTATGCCTATTATAATTTATTTTTCTTGTAGGGTGCGTGTGTGGAACTAATCAACTACCGAGCCCATCAATTAATCATTTAGCGAAATCCAGTAATCGTCCAGCTTTATTCCTACTAATATTATACCATATCTTCCTGGCTTTTATTTGCAAAGTCTTCATCTGAAAATAATTGCATTGTAAGAAAGTTAGACCTGAAAAATTTAACAAACAGTAAAGAAATTATTCAGTAGTAATATTACTTACCATTTGATAGTGCACCCTGTAGTTCAGTAGCAGAAATTGCACCACTTCTGTCTCTGTCAACTCTGAAATAATTAAATAATAACAATAATTTGTAATCAATGCTCTTTAATGTAACTGATAATGTATGGGTTTGGTCTTACAGGGGCACTAAGTAGGAACCAATGGAAATTTTCTTCCTTACAGCTTTATTCACACATTTGTTTGTGATGGTGAAGCAATTTAAAGTGTATCAACAGTTTCAGAAATCACTTGAATGAAAACTGTAGTCAACATTGGTCTAAAGGCACTGATTAGGATAAGATTTTGGATTTCTTTATTAATACTGTTGTAGATGGAGCTATTTACAGTGCAACTGAGGGAGATAACTAAAGAGGGAATACCATTTTAGATTTAATATTAACCCCCTTTAAGTGCATTTGGTTACAAGAAATATTTGTGAAGAGTGATCATTGCACAATTAGGTTTGTTGTTATGCTACATGTCAAGAAAAAAATACATTAAAATAGCTGAATGCCTGTCATATGATGGGTAAATGCTGATTAATAATTTTTTGGAAAACCAAATCAATGCTTTATGAACATGTTTTCTATCAATTAATTATATGATAGTAACAATATATGTAGAAAAAAAAAGTTATATTCTATTATTTCACAAAAACAACATTTTTGAGTATATTTTGTCATTACCTGTAAGTGGTCCTTGACTAGAATTTTGACTTATGTATATTTTATGTTATGTTCAAATTGTTTCTTGATAAAACCTTATAGATTTAACCATGTGAAAAAAGTTTCTCAAAGAAATCTTCCTATATGATCCTGCAATTTATTCATTGTGATGGCACAGGCAAAAAAGTTAATGGTGCAGGACAAATTCACGAATGTACAACTACCAAGATTGATCAAGAAGTCCCTTGTTTGTTGACTCGCATTCAAGATTTTATTGATCTGCTATTTTATGAATTTATGTCAATAAGTTTGGTATCAAACTGTAGATTATAATTCAAATTGTAATACCATACATTACTCAATTTCTTAATTTAAAACTAGATATTATATAAAAAAAACAACAAATTTTTGTGTGTTACGTGGTATGTTGAATGTTGCACTGATTCAAATTAGATGTTTGGGAAGTCCAAATACTAAGTCTATAGTTTTGTATGGATTAGAAACTCAAATTACCGATTTGACAAGCTAGAATATAAAATAAGAATGTCTTACTATTTTCTATTTGCTAAGATATTGCTCATGTACTAAATAAAACACAGTGGCACCCACTCACCTCTTTCCATTTTTGGAAATGCTCCCTTATATACACTTTTATATATGACATGAATAATCAATTGGAAGCTCAGAATGTCCCCTAGTGGCTTTCTCAGCCATATTAATGGGCTTGATGCCATTTTTCTTTTGAACCAATATTTCAAGGAGGTAGGGTGTGTGTCTTTAGTCTGGTCAAAATTTCATATTTTTTAGACTAATATACATCTTAGTTATTAAGCTTGATAAATTATAGTGGAATTCTATGGTACAGATGTGGTAATTTATGATTTTTTAGTTATTCAAGTAATATATATATATAAAACCTAAAAAAATATTTTGTTTCACATCCTCCACTTGCAAAATTTTACAAGGCTTAGCAACCAAAGACAAGCAGCAAATGAGTACAAAGATCGTAACTATGAGAGATAATTGTTTGCTTTACTTCTTTAGTTACTGTTCTATGTTTTAAGAAAAATAAGTTTAAGAACTTATTTCAAAATATCAATAATCTATATACATATATAATGTACAATAATTGAAATGTGACTGTATTTTACAAATTACTAGTGTACTAAAAAACAGCCAAGACAAGTTACTTTGTACAGACCAAAGGTCAATTTTATGTTATTTGATATAGTAACATGAGTGCACGTGAGTCACATCATTGTAACTTCTGTATTGTTTGCCAAGCATGGCTGAAAGGTCAATATAATAAAAATAATAAATATATATAAATGTATAATGTTATGAGATTTAAGCTATTTATTCTAAACATTTATGTTTTTGTGTTATAATTTATGTTCATTTTAGAATGAAAGAGGAATAATTTATATTTATTTTCCAATTTTCTATGGTGGTTACAAGATTGTTTAAATCTACTAAACTGATACAGAGATTGATTACTGAAAGTAACAGATAAAATATAAAGTTTTTACTTAAGAAACATTTGATAACTATCTGGACATTATAAAGATTTTGCATGTGAAATTTGAAAATATTCTGATGCATAAAAGTATTTTTAATCTTAAAATGAAAATTACTTTGCATGATATATAGGCATCATGTGAAAAGAAAAATAAGACATGAGAAAAACATTGCTTTACAAACCTTAAGACTTAAAGAAAAAAAATGATAATTTGTGCATTGTAATGTTTACTGATAATCTGCCAAATGTTGTTAACATTTGCTAACTAATTAAAAAGTTATAGCATGACAACTACAACAAGGACAAAATGGTTATAAGGTCACTCCGAGGGAACAAGCTGAAAGAGTTAATGTTATGTTGTGTTATAAAAAATGCTTATAAATTTTTTTGACTAAATTTTTAAAAATTTCTTACCAAGGGTGGAAAGCATCAATAATAATAAAATATTGTAGCACTGCCTATTGGTTTGAAAAAATATCTAAGTTGTTTTTGACACATACAAACACTGGTGTTTATTATGTAACTTAGCATTCTCCTACACTGAAAATGTATTTTTGATAGATACTTATCCCCTCCCACAAAATAGCTCATCTTTATTAGTACTGCCCTCTCTCGGCACAAATTTTCAATGCTCTGCCACTAGCCTTCCACCTCCCGCTTCTGCATATCCACATGACATGATTTCTTTCTTCCTAATAATTAAAAAATGTCATAAAAAATCCCCACTCAACTGGAATCTGAACTTGAGACTTCCACTTCAGACAAACTACTGAGCCATTTTGAATGTTACCAACAGAGTCTAGCATTACCAACATGGGAAGTATTCCAAACAGTGTGTGGCACTTATTACATAGATTCTAATTCCTAATTTTCAATATGTTAATTTTTGGGCCATGAGATGTTTGTTTGTTTGTTTTTGGAATTTCGCGCAAAGCTACACGAGGGCTATCTGCGCTAGCCGTCCCTAATTTAGCAGTGTAAGACTAGAGGGAAGGCAGCTAGTCATCACCACCCACCGCCAACTCTTGGGCTACTCTTTTACTAACGAATAGTGGGATTGACCGTCACATTATAACGCCCCCACGGCTGAAAGGGCGGGCATGTTTGGTGGGATACGGATTCGAACCCGCGACCCTCAGATTGTGAGTCAAGCGCCTTATCCACCTGGCCATGCCGGGCCCCGCCATGAGATGAGTTATATTACTAAATAATTAGTATAAAAAGTTAAAAGGTAATATGGGATAGATTGGGATAATTTTTTTTTAAATATATCACTTTTAATCAAGAACTTAGAGCTGGACAAGGTAATCAAGTAGTGTTGTGTAAACTAATCAATTAATTGGAATTGGAATTAAATTGATTAAAGCCACAAAAATAATCAACTAATTGAAATAAGAATTTCCAATCATTCCATCTATCCAAGTAATCAAAATATTACCATTAAGTTTGTTTGTTGTTAAGCACAAAGCTATGTAATGGGGTGGAGGTAACTCATGATTTAAGGTTTCAGATTTGTTTCCTAATGCCTCTAAACTTGCTCTTTCTATCTCTGTTACTGCAATGCTACTAAGACAATCTGCCACTGTCACTAATTTTCAACTGCTGACAAGAGGAAAGACAACCAATTGGCAGCATCCACTGCCAACTCTTTGTCTACTTGTGTTTTAAAGTGTAAAATTACAAGTTTTTCATTGTATATTTATAATTTATAGCTGCAAAATTGTACTCTTTAAAGCAGGAATGGATTTAGGGAAAAGATTCAAGGAGTCTGCCTCCCTTATCCAGAAATTAATATAATTTAATGTTGTACAGTTGTGTGCAGATCTGGGCGGAGGTCTTAATCACCACCTCTATGTTTTTCAGAAACACACACCCACCCACACACACAAATCGATATCCTTACAGTACTCCATAGTATCAAAAAGAAACATCAGTTGTCAGGGTTTGTACTTGATTGGGCTATCAATCACAATAAAAGCATTTTTGAAGTTTTCTAAAATCAACAAAGCTGGAGTCTACATCAATCTAATTAAAACTTCAGCCAATAACTGATTATTTCTGAGCTAATATAACAATATGAACATCAATTACATGTCAATTTTGTTAAATTTGCACTCCTTGGCTTTTTCCAGACATACAAACAATGTATTTAAACTTTAGAGATTTATTTTCATCAAAGGTAGTATTGTTTAGGACACCTGCAGCTCTTATAACAGACTTATTACAGAATTGATTGTTCATTGTGTTTAGATGTTATAACTCTTACTAGAAAGATGTTTTCATGTTGTTGGTATCTAAAATAAGTGAAACCAGGCATGCTGTTTACCAATATTCTAAATCTTTTATAAATATGGTGATAATTATTTTTATTTAACTTTAATTGACAAATTTGAAATGTTTTTTTTTTTTATATCAATCCCATTATTATAAATAAATATCTAAACTTTCTTTAAACTGCTGGATTACAACCTAACTGAACCAATCATTTACAGAATACATTAGTTATTTCAACTTATTTAGGTTACATTTGGACTAGTGTGGAGAAGCTAAACATTGTTACTTGTTAACACAATAATACTATATTATCTGAATAGACTTTCTAATTTTATTATTATTATTATTTGGTCCCTAATGGTTTTCAAGCTTTGTAAGATAAAGATATAGCTATCATAAGTTTAATTTAAAAAAAAACAATTGATATATCAATTTTTCTGTTGTTTGACTTTAAATTTAAGCCCCTTCAAAAACATCCAAAAATACTAGGTTTTTTACCTTGACTAAGTATGTGTTTGTTCAATAAATACAAAGTGTTATGATTTATTACTTTCTATTGTTTGAATATGAAGTGCTTAAATAGCTGTATAGTTATGGATACAAC